GAGGCCGAATTGGAGGTTGGGGGTGAGAGAATTAAAACGTAAGGCGTTCTCGCCGGGATCGAGGTTGTCAAAGGTGGCTACGCGAGTACGTCTCCTCTCGTTGTCTTCAGTGGATAAGGTGAATACAATGCGGCCGTTAGGGAGCCAATCGAAGCGGTAGAACACGTGGGTCCAGGGGCCTCCTTCGATGTATTGGTAAGCAGGGGCGGTGCCGGGAGCGGCGTCTACCGTAGTGCAGTCTGCTGCGAACCAATAGCTATCGTGCTCGCTCACGCGGTAGGCTGTAGTGGTGTCAAGGTCGATAGCAGAAAGCTTATCACGAAGAATTCCAGCGGGAGTTCCGTACGCGATGGGTTCGTCCGTCTGGACACAGGTGCGGGTGATGAGGGATTCGTAGTGCGCGGGAGAGAAGATCGGAAGACCTTCGCGGAGGTTGTAGTAGGCTTCGAAACGTTGCAGGCCGTAGCGCACGTCTGAGTAGTCACCGGTGAGATCCCAGGACTCCGCGTAGTTGGTGTTGACGCGGCGGAGGTAACCACGGACCGTGCGATCGTGTTGGTCGAGCGCTTCGTAGCACGGGCGCGGGAAAGCGGTGCGGTCGAGGTGAAGGAAGTGGTGGAGGTAGTTGGCTACCGGTTCGTAGGGTGGCGGATAGTCGTCGAGGAAGTTGGGACGGATGCGGTCTCGCGGTGGAGTCGCAGTCGACTCGTCGGCGAAGATGTCGGTGAGTGGGAGGATAGAGGGAGTGCTTCGCGCGGACACTGGAGGCAGGTCGCGTTAGCGGTGAGGGTGTAGGGGTGTGGTAGAACCGTACTCGTGTATTCGCGCGCTTGATTCCGCGGCGAGTGGGGTTTTGAGTAGGTGTGGGGTTTGGTAGAAGCTGTTTATGAGACGCCTTAGCGCGCGCGGCTATCTACGAGATTAGATAGCGCACCAGCCGAGACTCGCGAGGGAGATTGGAGGTACGAAAGCCCAAACAGCTTCTGGAGATTGCTCCTCCAGAAGCGGGCCCTTTTATATTCGCTAGCTACGATGTACATGAGTCAATGTGAGTCGCGCGTGCATTCGCGTGCTGCAGCGTTAGCTCGCCTGCTTGCACTCACATGTCGTGTAGAGTCAACGGAAATACAAAGAGCAATCGCACGAAAGGCGCGAGGCGTCTGCGTACGATACTGGAAGAAGTAACTACGTAGTCAGGGCGCTGGTACGCTCCAGGCACAAGAGGCAACGTGCAGGAGCGCGCGGTCACTCTCCACGGCCCGGTTGTACATGAGGCGCTCAAGTGAGCTCTTGTACGGCGCGCGGTAGCCTCGTGGCTGGGCGTCGGAGCCGCGCGCTGCTTACTAACACCGTGACTTGCGTGATTACTGGAAAAGGCAAATTTCCGTAACACTCTGCCCCTCGCGCGCGAGCCGCGTCCACAGCGTCGCCCCGCCGAAACCGACGTCACCAACGGTCACCGTCCACGCGAGCCGCACGGGCGCCGCCGCGCGCACCAGCGCGTACATCGCCGCCGAGACGTCGGCCTCCTTTTCGCCGTCGGCCCCACGCCCGACCACGCCCTCGAAGCCTGGCGGGGTCGTTCGCGCCGGGTACTTGCACCCTGTGCGTACATCGAGCCAGGACAGGTCGAGGACGTCGGAGTGAGCGGCGGGCGCCGCGGCGTGCGGCAGGTCTTCGGCGGTGTGTACCCTGAGCGTGCGCAGGCGGGGCCAGGCGCGCGGGTGGGGGGTGTCGGCGTGGTGGAGGAAGAAGATTTCGAGAGAGTCGATGTTCGGGCAGGAGGCGACGAGCATGTCCGCGCAGGGGATTCTGGTGCCGTTGATGTGTAGGTGGCGGATGGAGGGGAAGGTCGGCTGGGATGTGACGTCTTCTGTGGACTCGTGTCCGGAAATGTAGAGGTTTTGGAGATGTGGGAGGAGAGATATGGCGCGAAGGAGAGGAGCAAGAGATAAAGGGGCCCTAAACTCGAAGTCGGAAACTTTGAAGTGGAAAACTCTGATGCTGGGGGGAAGGAGGAGTCCCGACTCGAGCACTGCCTGATCAACCTCGTTTTCGAGGTGAAGGACATGAAGTGAAGTCAGGGACCGTAGCGCAGCGTTGAGACTGCAGGAGTCCTTAGTGATGTCTGGTCCTCCTCCCCGAATGATCAGGAGGTTTGTCGCCGCAAGAAGTACGTCTCCGAGGAGATTTACTGCCTGCGTCTCTTCTTCAACTTCCTGGTGACTCATATCGAAGATGAGACTTCTGAAGTTTCTTGCCCGCACTTCGCGACCACCTACAGTGTTTTCATCCAGCAGGTATCGATGTAGTCCGCGAAGCCGAATGACTCTGCCGCACCGTAAAGAAGCGGCAACCCGCATCAGGAAACGGGAGCGCCGGCCCGAACTCGCGGAGACTCGCGTGCCCCGAGCGACGCGCGGGAGATCTCCGGAGCACTCTGGAGCAACCACCGATGGCCTCGAGGACACCTGAGCGGCGCGGGAGACTCTGGCGTTCTTGAGAGTCTTGCAGACCGCTCAGTTGGCCTCAAGTGTTTCACAGGGTGCACGGTGGATCTCAAAACTTTGGCTGGACACTCAGGATGTTTCGAGAGTGTTGGCCAGGGGTCAGGAGCTTCCGGGGACCGGGACCTGGGTGCTCGGGTGTTGGGGTGTTTCGCATCGGGACCTTTGACGGACGCGAGCACGTAGTAGTATAGTTTGGTGACATAATAGGATGCTTAGGCTGCGAGATGCTACCTTTCCGGTTCACAGCGCTATTTGAGACCAAATGTGCTCGACTGAGAAACCGCAGTTGCATCAAGTATTGCACTATTACATAGTAAATACTGGGTGTGTAAAGTTTAAATAAGCACCTCGGGCGCGGGAAAGTGGACGCGTGCGAGGTAGATGCGTTGAGTGTGGCGAAGTGAACATGTCGGTCGCGGTGAGATGGACGTGTTGAGCACAATGAGACGGCGTTGAGCGCAGCGAAGTAGATGCACAAAGAACGACAAGACAGATGCGTTGAGTGCGGCGAGGTAGACACGTCGAGTGTGGCGAGGTGGGCGCGTGGAGCGCGGTGAGACAGGCGCGGCGAGACGGACACGCTGAGCGTGGCGAAGTAGACAGCGAGGTGCCAGGCAACGAGGTCTGTGTACAGAAGGTGATTCCCACGGCAAGCGCAGGCCGCGCGTGCGTCGTCGGCGTTGCCAGCGCACGCGTCTTTTCTTGTTTTCCCCCTCTTCGCTACTCCTCTCGGCGCCCCTGCTGTCTTGACTTCCCAGTCGCTATCGCCCTCGGCCACGCTTTTCTCGGCAGCCTCTCCCACGACCTTCTCATTCACGACCTCTCCGCCATTTCTATTCACCCCCTTCGATGTTCCTGTCTTTAAAATCCATTTCCTTTCGACTCTCGAGCTTTGTCTTCACCCCGATTCTCACCACTTCCATAGCGCTCCGCACACACTATTCGATCACGGAGACTGAAGGCGTCTCGCACGCCACTCGGGGGACGACACAAATGCATGGCACGACGTGCATGCTCTGGCGCTGCGGCGGCCGACACGGTGAGCTTTTCCCCCTTCTGATGCTCTGCTGCCGCGTTCCCAGCCCGCATTGTCGTCTGACGCGCAATTTGCTTGAAGCCCCAGCCCAAGTCCATGCGGGTGGCACTACACACTCGCCCGACACCATCCTCCCTGTTCGACGACGATACGCAGCTGCGTTCCTTTCGTACGTAAGTACAATTTCTACTTGTTTGCTCTTGTATTGCGCCTGTATATTCATGGGCAAGCCCCGCGATCCCCTCCGTCCCAGTCTGTGTCTGCTTGCGTCCGCATACGACAACATCACGGCGCTCATAAGGTATGTCTCCTCCCGCTCGTCTCCCTCTCCCCCGCTGACAGTCTTTGATAGATGAGAACTCGTAGCCTTGCTCGCTCCTCCCGTGAGCTACCGTTGCGCGTTACGCCTGGTTAGGCCCGCAACAGTGAAGATGTGCGCCCAGTCTCTCATCATCATGGTCATATCCATACGGCGTTGGAGGCCATACCCAACATGAGCACAAGCCTGGGGAGCGCGACTACGCGCGCGTGGAGATGGAGCTTGGGGCGCGAGGGACGCGTTGCCGGTGAGCGGGATTCTGTTTGGGTGTGGGCGGAGGGTGCGGGCGATGCGGTGCATGGAGCCACGCTACGCTTGAACGTCGTGCGGGTCGTAGCTGTCAGGGCCAGGGAGAGGTGTCGTGGGCTGGGGGTGCGGAGATCGCTGGGCGCAATGGAGCTGGGTAGGAGGGTGTTTCGTCACCTCGGGAGTGTTGTAGGCGACCAGTAGTACACGCTGTTTTGCCCGTCAAATCAATATATTTTATGCCTGTCCAATGAATGTGCAATATGGATGACCAGACCCCAGGATTTGCACTGGTGCAAACATACTCGCGACTGCTCCAGAGTACTCTGGAGAGGGTGCTCGGAGCTACTCCAGAGCACTCGGTGAGCTGGCGCCAAGACTCCAGAGCACGCGCGAGCCGCCCGCCGAGCTCTGAGATGCTCCATAAAAGGGTACTTGTCTCAGGCTGCTCCGGCTACTCTCGAGACTCCGTTGCACTCTGGAGACAAGGTGTTTTTGCCTGATGCGGTGGATCCCTAGATCGTGTGTTGCTTTTGAGGTAAGAGAAAATTTCAAAGCGTCGCTGCCGTCAAGGTATGAAAGGATGATGTGTAGGATGTCGTGATCCAGAACGGAGAGGTTCCCGACAATTCCACTTCTTTGTGTCATCTGCGAGGTCGTGATCATCTAAGCAGGCAGACTGTGAATTTGAATGAACAACTCACGGCTTATAGGAGCGTGTATAGGCTATAGGATGCGTTTGGGAGGCCAAAAGATGCGAAAGAGAATTGCCAGGGTTTTTACCAGGTCTTCATATAGGAGACGGTAGAGAGGAGGAGGAGGAGGAGGAGGAGGATATTGAACTGAGTTCAACTGGCAGCAGTGCGAGAGAGAGAGATGTAAGTACAATTTAGGAGCTCATCGCCTGCTCAGTCACGTTGCCCAGCAGGGACCCCGGAAGGGGCCAGAGCGGTAAGGGGTCCTTCTCCCCATTCTGGTATGTATGTATGACACGCAAGAGTAGGTAGTGGCTACAGGGCCAAACCACGTTAACTGATATGCCCATGATACATCACACAGACCCAAAAACTCCTCCGCTTCCCGCTCTCCATCTTCAGCCCACATCTTCTCAATCTCCCGCACACTGCCCTCTCTATCCGTGATCCGGAACCACGAATATCGGGGCGCAGAGAGACCCGCCTCCTGGAAGTACGGATCCGTGTCCGGAAGAACAACGGGTGCCTCTGCGTCGGCGAGGGCGAGGTACCGCAGGCGCGGCAACGCATCGGCGAGCGGCCGGCACAGCGCCCTGAGCGAGCTCGGGGCCATGTGCGGTCCATCTCCCGCGTCCTCCTCGTCCGCGCCGTAGCTTGCTTCGCCGTGCGCCCGCGGCACCCACAGCGCAAGGTGCTCAAGCGCCAGCGGCGACAACGCGGCCGGCAAGTCCATCTGGCAAGTCCGAGAGCATCAGCAGGACCGCTGATGTGCATCCACCGCCGCTGGTACGTGCACGCGTCCGTCAGACGCCCGCGCGAGATCCGCGCCCTCGCGCACTATACATCCTCGTCCCGCGCATCCTCGTCCCTCATCCCTACGGTACACCACACCGACCCTCGCGATCGCTCCGCTTCATAGTTAGCTACACACCCACACACGTTTCTTCTCCCTTTTCGCCCCTTCGTATCCCCCATTCCACGGCCTCCATGGTCAGCCACACTCGTTGCCCCGCTCCGCCACTTGTTGCTCTTATCTTCCGGACGCTCGCCATGACACTCAGACTTGTAGACAGGTTTCGGGTGCTCGTTTCGGTCGTAGTCACACTCTCGCGCGGGCCGCATTTGCATGTATTTAGACTCGACTCGCACTGGTTGCTATCCAGTTCATTTTCCCTCGCATCTACGTGCGTGTGCTGTGTGCTCACCCCTCGACTTCGTATCTATTCGACCTCGCCTCTACCGTATCGTCTTCGTCGCCTATCGCCCTTCGCCGTCGCCCATCGCCCGTCGCCCATCGCCTATCGTCTATCGCCGTCGTAGCGCCCGTGCGCGCCCTCTCGTCTCGCGTCTATCGTCTCTCTGCTCGTCTTCCTCTCCTCTCCTCCGCGTTCGCGCACTCCGTCCCCTTCCTCCTCCGTGACACCCTCGGACGTCCTGTCCCACGGTGTTCGTCCCCTCTACCGACTTCCCGCGCTTCACGCCTACGCGGACTCGACCTCAGCCCTCTCCCCTTGTTGACTCTTCCCGGAGTTAGCATCACATCAGCGGGATCTGGGACGGCGACGCGCGTATTAGGACGGTTCAGAGTGCTGTTCAAGTAGCAGCCTGCACCGTGAGACGTACCTCCATTGCTAACACGTGTGTGCGCCCGGGGGCTGTTCGAGAACGGTGGCTTGCTTTTATATGGGCCCAAGCCCCGGCGCTCTGATAACAAAGATAAGGAACACCCAACTACCTGCGGCGAGAACGCGCCGTGATCAAATGTACGCAAGCTTCTGCAGGTGCCGGTACTTCGACGTGCTTGCAATGGTAATTGACTCGGTGGTGGACGTCACACGCCCTTGCCGACAGACGCTAGACTACTCGACAATGCACTGCGGCCGGGAAAGCGTCCTCACACGTACACGCCCTCGGGGCAGCAGGGGTATGATGTTGTTGCAACAACTAGCTATGACGGCACATCGTAGAGCCCATATAGCACAGAGCTTCGAACTTGAATCATCAGCCTTAACACGTTACCGAAGGGAGAAATTTCCCACCGTTGTAATTTACTTGAACGAGCGGGGCACACAGTCCGCAAAGTCCGCAAGATGTCGTGGCTCATGGGGATGCAGTTGGCGTGTAAGCTGGAGGAGCGTCGTCCGGTTGGGATGGCGGCGGCGGCGAGACGGCGCTCGGAGTTGAACGCCGCGGTGGGGGAGCGGTGCTCGAAGAAGATTGCGGCAGTGGGGGAGCATCAGGAAAAGCCTCCGCCGCCACACTCGCGATGTGCGAGAGTCTGTCCGCAGGAGACAAGGCGCCCCCGGAGTTGCGCCGAGGCGACGGCAAGGTGGCGACCGTGGGACCGTCAAGGTCGGGCGAGTGCCAGTTGGAGTCGGACGCGTGTGCGCTGCCCCTTGGGCTCTCGACGCCGTCATCCTGGGAGAGCGAAAACCCTAAGGCTCGCAAGTCGTCCCTCCGATAAGACGACACTCACATTCGCATGGTACGCCTCATGCTGCCGCTGTAGCTCCCGGATCTGGCGACAAGTCGCGCAGTCGTCCTCGTGCGTTCGGGCCTCTCCCGCTCCCCCAATTCCTGCCCCCATCCCATGTGTGTGGGGGTGTGTTCCCGCGTGCACCGCCAGCAACGGGACGCCCGTGCGTCTTGCCTGCGGCGCATTCGCCATAGGGGGCCGGGTGACGGATACCGGGATGGGCACGTACCCGTTGGTGGTGGCCTGAGACCCGGTCGTCGCGTTCGGGTTCGCGCTTGAATGTCGCGGCGCGATGAGTACTCCTGCTGGCGCCGCTGATGTTCTCCTGGTCGGCGCATCTGCCGGCGCCGTCGATGTCCTCCTGGCCGCCGCGGCGCGCGCGCGCTCTACCTCCGCTGTGGCACGTTCGCGAGAGTTTGCGCGCGCGCCGCATCTGAAGAGCATCCAGAGCAAACAGATCCCGACTAGTATACCGCCGATGACGCCGAGGGTGGTGCCGAGAGGGGGCCCACTTGAGAAGCCACATCAGGAAAAAACCATTTGCACGAGAGCGCCGGGCCGAACTCGCGGAGACTCACGTGCCCCGAGTGATGCGCGGGAGGGCTCCGGAGCACTCTGGAGCAACCACCGATGACCTCGAGGGCGCCTGAGCAGTGTGGGAGACTCTGGCGTTCTTCAGAGTCTTGCAGACCGCTCAGTTGGCCTTGAGTGTTCTGCTGGGTGCACGGTGGATCTCAGGAGCTTCAGCTGGACACTCAGGATGTTTCGATAGTGTCAGCCAGGGGTCAGGAGCTTCCGGGTGCTCGGGTGTTTCGCATCGGGAACTTTGACGGACGTGAGCAAATAGTAAATGTGCTCGATTTAGAAACGGCATTTGCATGAAGTAGTGTACTATTACATAGAAGATACTGGATGTGTAACGTTCAAATAAGCACCCCGGGCGCAGGGAAGTGGACGCGTGCGAGGTGGTCGCGTTTCGGAGTGTGGTGAGGTGAAAGACGGCGTCGAGCACAGCAAAGTAGACACATTGAGCGCGGCAAGACGGACGCATTGAGCGCGGCAAGATGGACGCATTGAGCGCGGCAAGGTAGACACGTTGAGTGTGGCGGGGTGGACGCGTCGAGCATGACGAGACTGCAGTGTTGGTCGTGGCGAGACAAATGCGTTGAGGGCGCCAGACAAACACGTTGAGTGCAGTGAAGTAGGCGTGTTGGTCGTGGCGAGGTGTACGCGTTGAGCGCGGCGAGACAGGCGTGGAGAGACGGACATCTTGAGCGCAGCGAAGTAGACAGCCTGAGCGAGGTGGGAGACGAGATCTGTGTTGGCGGGGGAAGGTGATTCCCACGGCAAGCGCAGGCCGCGTGTGCGCCGTCGGCGTTGCCAGCGCACACATCTCTTCTTGTTTTCCTCCACCTCGCCACTCCTCTCCGCCTGTCGCTATCGCCCCCGACCACGCCTTTCTCGACGGCCTCCCTCACAGCCTTCCCATTCACGACATCTCCACCGTCTCTATCCACGCATTGTCTTCGATGTGCCTAGGCCTGTCTTTAAAAACCCGTTTCCTTTCGACTCTCAAGCTACCCCTCCACCCCGATTCTCACCATCTCCATAGCGCTCCGCACACACTATTCTATAACGGAGACTGAAAGCGTCTCCCACGCCACTCGGGGGCGACACGAATGCAATGGCGCGACATGCATAATTTAACGCGCAGAGACTGACACGGTGAGCCTTTCCCCCTTCTGATGCTCCGCTACCGTGTTCCCAGCCCGCATTGTCGTCTGACACGCAATTTGTTTGATGCCCTAGCCCGACACCACCCTCCCTGTTCGACGACGATAAGCGGCTGTGTTCTTTCCATATGTAAGTACAAATTCTGCACGTTTCCTTTGCACCTGCATATTCATGTGCAACCTCCATGATCCCCTCCGGCCCAGTCGGCCTCTGCTTGTGTCCGCATACAATAACATCACCACGCCCATAAGGTATGTCTCCTCCCGCTCGTCTCCCTCTCCCTCACTGACAGTCTTTGACAGATAGGAACTCGTAGTTTCGTGCGCTCCTCCGGTGAGCTGCCGTTGCACGTCACACCCGGTTAGGCCCACAACAGTGGAGATGGGCGCTGCGCCTCTCGTCATCACGGTCATTTCCGTACGGTGTTGGAGCAAGTGCTGGGCCATGCCCGATGCAGCCACAAGCCCGAGGAGCACGACTACGTGCGCACCAACGTGTGCGCGTCGCCGCGCCCGAAGCGGTCCCAGATCGCCTGCAGGCGCCAGTCCACGGTCGTCGGGCGCGACACGGAGATGGAGCTTGGAGTGCGAAGAACGCATCGCCAGTGAGCGGGGTGCTGTTTGGGTCCGGGCGGAGGGCGCGGGCGATGCGGCACATGGAGCTGTGCTGCGCCTGAACGTCGTGCAGGTCGTGGTTGTTGGGGCCAGGGAGAGGTGCCCCGGGCTAGGGGTGCGGGGATCGCTCGGCGCAACGGAGCTGAGGGTGTGCCCTGCACAAGGCGCGGTGGCGGCGAGCACGCGTACGTCGAGCTTGAGACAAGGTTCGTAGTCACCAGGACGTCCACATGGTGAGTTAGATGGAGTGCAGCGCGCTCGAGCCGTTCTTCCACCCGCGAGGCCTGCAGGGAGTGGGTAGGAGGTAGTACCATGTCAGATGTGTCGTTACCTCGTTAGTGTTGTAGGTGACCAGTGTTCAGTACTTGGTAGCAATCAATATATTTCGTGCCTGTTCAACGAATGTGTGATATGGATGACCAGACCCCATAAATTGCTCCGGTGCAAATGTACTCGCGACTGCTCCAGAGTACTCTGGAGAGGGTGCTCGGAGCTACTCCAGAGCACTCGGTAAGCTGGCGCCAAGACTCCAGAGCACGCGGGAGCCGCCTGCCAAGCTCCGGGATGCTCCATAAAAGGGTACTTGTCTCAGGCTGCTCTGGCTACTCTGGAGACTCCGGTGCACTCTGGAGACAAGTCGTTTTTGCCTGATGCATCCCGCCGGACGAAGGTCGTGGTGATTGCGGGCATAGGGAGGTGAGGGGCATCCGCCCTGGAGGGCTCAAGGCAAGCAAGGCGGGCGACTGGGCAGGTGGGGGCGTGTCATGCGCGGGGAAAGACGTCCTCCTTTTGTGGACACCAGAGGCCCGTCGAGTTCCCGCGCCCGCCGAGGGCTGGATTTCGGCACTTCAAGTGAGAGGCTGTGCTGAGCCTCGAGGAGAGCCGTGCCTTGGGGCTGTGTGGTCGCTGGCGGCTTCTATCTAGAGTCGTCGAGCCTTCTGGCCTCTCGGGCTGGCAGGTGAGATCACGACTTGAGCTTCGACTTTTGAGGCGGTGTATGCACCCGTTTATTGATACGAACCAAAGTTTGACGCACCGGAAACGGAGAACGGTAGCAAATACACTCTGCTCCAAGTTCCGGGGAGCAAAGTGAGGACTTCCACACGCATTGCGGATTACGCGAGGCATTTCGTCGTGCAGGGATACTTGAGGAGGAAGCCCTTATTGTGGCTGTGGGTAGTCTGCAGTTCCGAATGGTTGAGATATACAAGAGGTCTAAACGCAATACCCGCTCACCTTGTCGTGTTATCAGTGTTCCAAGAAGAGCTTGGCGAATTCGTGGAGAAGTACGGCGGCGTGACGGCGCGCGGGTGCGTGTTGGATTCCAGAAATAATCTTGACGGTGATGAACATGACACATGTCCGTAATACAACTCGACCGTTTAGAGCTCTCTATCTATCGACATACCGTGTTTCCTTCATACACTCTCGCGACTCTCTACAAGCTCGCGATCCGTGCTCCGATGCCACCAGCCCGGTCACTGTGTATCTCTTGGGAAGTCCTCCACGACCACCTTATGCCACATCGGCCCCGCACTGAACATGCGCTCGGACGCAGAGACGCGATTTGCGTTCGCCGACACGTCTCTCCCATCGCCGACCTCCTCCGCCACACCCACAGCCTCAGCGCGTCACTCATCCACGATCGCTTCCAGCCCGTACTCCAACGCGACCCCCCTCGCAGACACCCTGGTGAGCCTCCCCCGCCCGGCGAACCTCTCCCTCATCACAGTGGGCGACTCTGCCCCCTCGGGGCCGAACGCGCTCCGCTCCCCGCACGCCCCACCAACTCTCGCCCATGCGCACCATCCCTACCTCCCACGGGACACCGAAGTCCCAACGCAACTATGCGACTTCCCGCACGAGTCTATTCCGCCGAGCCTGATCGGTCTCTCGTCGCTCACGACACTGGCGCCCGCAATTTCGCGCCGCGGTATCCCCTCTCATACCTCTTCAACGAACAGAGGTACACACATCGCACGTTGAGGGGCGCTGTGAGGGGCTGCTGTCGCTGGTAGTACTGGTAGCGGTGGGGACGGGGAGTGCAATCGGGCGAAGAAGATGCAGAAGACCAGCGGTGAGCACCACTCCGCAGGCTGGTCGTTTCCCAGACGGAGGAGGTCATGCGCATCGCGCGGCTCTTGTACGCGTCCTGAACACCTTCGATACACGCTAGGGGATGGACACCGCGGGAGAGAGAGAAGGGGAGGAAAACATCGAGTCAACGACCGAGCCCGCTGACACGGACGCTGACTCGACGGTTGCGCCGACGGAGACCTCTTCCGACCCGAGCGAGGACAAGTAGTGCGGAGAGTGCGGGTCGGAAGTGCTCACCTTGGCGTACCTCTGCCATACCTGCTCGCCAGCCTGAGGCCGCAACTCGCCCGCTGCTTGATTTGTTGCGCGTGGTATCCCCAGACGCGCTCGTGGACATCTACCCGGCTGCGCTGGGTGCCGGGTTTTTCGCGGAAACGTTGATGCAGGGGTCGCACGACGCACCGCGCCTGAGATGCCTGGACGTCGATCTTAACACTGACGGTTTCGTGGTCAATGACCACTTCCGGTGCCCTAACCGCGTCTCCAGCGTGATCCTGCCGACATGCCCCTCGAACGCATCCGTGTTTTCGTGCGCGCGTAGGGGAATAGGGTAGCGTGTCTGGGGTTGCTGCAGCAGGTTTTAGGTGGCGGATTTGAGGGAGTCGGTCATGGATTTCGCGCCGAGCAGGTGGTGTTGGACTGCCAGTGACGCGCAAGTGAGAGAGACACAAGAGCTGGGAGGTGCTGTAGATGGTGAAAAATCAAGCCATCACGGAGGCGATGGAAGCGGGAAACGGATGAAGTCGAGAGAGAGAGAGAGAGCGCTCTTGTTGATTTGGGCGCTAATATTCTTCGACGACTCGACGTCAACGTCCATGTCGATGTCAACAAGGAACATACAGAAGAGTCCCTAGCCGATCCCCTTTTGAAACGACAAGCCTTCAAGTCCTTTTGCCCCCAAAACTACTTTGTGGCCTAGAACAACCGTGCATCCTTCAACGACCATCCCACTGTGATTGGGTTTCCACGCCGTGACGCCCGTAAGTAGGGCGTCCTTCTGCGCCTGTTTTAACCAGCCGGGGACGGTGATGACGGCGCCCTACACCTTTTTGCCAATGATATCCTCCGCGGAGTGGACGAGCATGATTCCTTCGAATTCACCGTCCCACAAGTACTTACTTCAGTCCTCGAGCAGAGCCTGAAGGCCCGTGGGCTTTTTGATACTCGCCCCATGGATATTTCGGGGATGTGTTCGCGGGGCTCCTCGCCAACTCCTCGCCGAAGAATAGTAGATGAGCGGCTGCTAATCTGATCTACGCCGACGTTGACGCCGAGATAAGCCGCAGGCGCTGCCTCGAGGCCTGTTGCTCCTACGTCACGTACGACCACGACGGAGTAAACAGGAGTCCACAGGCAACATCTGCTTGTTCAGGGAAAGTTCTATCTTGCAGGCATTACTTCTGTAAACGTGCTCATTTATACATTTCCAGGTCCCAGCCATGGAACCCCCCCTAGATCGTCTCAACGACGATGTTCTGCTCATCATCCTATCCTATCTCGAGAAGCGAGATCTCTGCGCTTTGTCGCTCACCTGCAAACACTCCCACACGATTTCCTCTCAAAGACTCTGGACAGCCGTCTCGATAACAAACAGTCTCTTCATCTCCTGTCCGTGGCATGAGAATATCTACACCAATGCTCATCATGTCCGTGAGATGGCGGTCCATGTCCACGACAAGGCACCTCAGGTCTCCGACATCTTGTTCGCAACCAAGAACATCCGTTCCCTCAAAATACCCTATCTGTATCGCCTCTATGACGACCCGCGTCTTTCTATGGCTCTCGCCGAACTGCGCGAGCTCCGGACACTCTCTTGCAAGTGGATCGAGGACAAAATGCTGCCGACGATCCAAAACATCCCATCTCCCGATCTCACAACCCTCTGTCTAGGATATAAAGGAAAAACAGACCTCCCCTCCCTCCTCCCCGTTATCGCATCCTTCCCTCGCCTGTATACTCTCATTCTAGAGTTCCTTAAGCCTACCAGCGCGGTCGATATCACCAGCTACCCGCCATTCACCTCCATCCAGCAGCTCACCCTCGACAAAGTCACTGAACCTGCGACGGACATCATCTATCTCTGTCCCAACGTCACCTCTCTGGACCTTGGTGTCGACTATCCTCGCCAAGGGGACCCTCACGAATCCCGACCGAAATGGCGCCCCTCGCCGATCCCTCGACTCTCCCTCACGGTTCTGCACATTAAGACCAGAGACCCCATTGTCTCGTTGCTGGAACGACGAGCCTTGCGCGCGACACACGTTCGATTCGCCATGTTATGGCTGTTCACGGACGACTGTATCTCGCTCGAGAGCGGCGAAGCCACGTCCCGACTCAGGCGCGTCCTCGACGTGCTCATGCCGCACTCCCTCCACCTCGAAATATCAGCGATGTGGGGCTACAAGCGATCTGACCCCACTGGAAACCTCTGGCAAGAGGTCGCCGCAACCGCGCCGCACCTGCGTGCGCTCGTGCTCTATGTAGACTCCCTCGACGATGGCAATACGAAGGACGAGCAGTGGCCGCGGACATGGGCGCCCTCGGTACGTCGCGCTCCGTCTGCTTCGAGCACGCCCCTCGCTCACCTGATATTGTCCACACGCCAGGACACGCTCGTGGCGGAGCTCGCGTGGCTCCCGCTCGTCTGCGTCCATCTCGAGGTGGATCCAGAATCGTCCTACCGGAAACCAGGGGAGGCGGGGCGCCAACGCCTCCGCGCGCTCGCCGCGTTTCCCGGGAAGCTCGCCGCGGCCATCCCCACACTGCGCGTCGTGGGCGTGTCGGACGGGTGGCGCAAGTTGGAGGGCTTACGATCCACACAGTGGTGGCGCGTCGAGCGTGGCGACGGCGACGCGTCGCGGTCGCTGGTCGAGCTCTGGCGCGAGGATGGGGAGCGGGCACTGGAGCTCGTGCAGAACGAGGCGTTTCGTATGTCCGATCTTGACGGTGAGTAGATGTTTTGAGTTTTGGTTTTATCCAGTGGCTGACTTGTTCTCCTGTAGACATCTACTCGGAGAAGTGCCGTTACGTGAGCGGGTGAGCGGGGAACACGAGCGCGCCACGAAGACGTCCGAGACCCCGCCGTCGCCGCGCGAATGAGGGAGACCGGATGCGACGGGATTGTCGTCTCGCGCGGCGCCTGGTCATTCGTCATCCCGCAGACGGCAGAGCTCGGCGCGCGGGTTTTCGCGCACGTCGGGGGATGGCTCGCGGATGGGACGCAGGTGCATGAAGCCGTGAGCTTCGCGGATGCCAGCGACTTGGACGCGCCGTGTACTTGGTAGTAGACGATGGGGTTTTGATTGCCCCCAACTGGTATATGTACAAGGGAGCGCGCGGACTCGAATGTAGCTTTGCCCTGGTATTTACATAAAGTCTTTCCCAATTAACACTGCATGTTTTGAGGCACCCCCCCACGCGCGCGCGCAGAACCAGACAGCGCAGTTTCGGAGGAAGGTCGCGAACCGCGATTGAAACGGAGGCAATGCGCTCGCACTCTTCGCTCACCACCGCACGTAACGGCACTTCTCCGAGTAGATGTCTACAGGGACGCAACTCAGCCGCCGGATATAACCAGAACTCGAACCGTCTCCTCACCGTCAAGGTCGGACGCACAAAACGCCTCATTCTGCACCAGCCGCAGCGCCCGCTCCCCGTCCTCGCGCCAGAGCTCGACCAGCCACCGCGACGCGCCGTTGCGTTCGCCGCGCTCGACGCGCCACCACCGCGTGGACCGCACGCCCTCGCCCTGGCGCCACCCGTCCGATACGCCGACCACGCGCAGTGTGGAGATGACCGCGGCGAGCCTCCCGGGGAACGCGGCGAGCGCGCGGAGGCGGAGGCGATCTCCCGTGTCCGCCTCCGGATTCCGCTCGAACAGTTGGGCCGGGTCCGCCTTGAGATGGAAGGCGACGAGCGGGAGGCGCGCGAGCTCCGCCACGAGCGCGTCCTGGCGCGTGGAGAACATCGGGTGAGCACTGAGGGGCGCACTCGGATCAGAAGCGCGACGTACGGGGGGCGTCCATATCTGCGGCTCCCCGTCTTCGGTATCGTTGTCGAATGACTCTACATCGAGCACGAGCGCACGCAGGTGCGGGGCGGCCGTGGCGACCATTTGCCAGAGAGTCCCCGTGCGGTAAAACAGCCTCGTGTCCCACGTCACTGTTATCTCCAGGCAAAGCGAGTGCGGCTTGAGCGCGGCGAGAACGCGCGTGAGTTCGGACGCGAGTTCGGTTATCGCGAACGAGATGCCGTCATCTTTGACCCCCCAGAGCATGGAGAGTCGGACGTGTGTCGCGTGCACGTCGTGTCGTTCCAGCAACGAGATAATGGATTCCCTGACGTCTGTGTGCGAATACGTGAGGGTGAGTCGAGGGATCGGCGAGGGGCGCCATCCCGGTCGGGATCCGTGAGGGTCCCCTCTACAAGGACGTTCAAGACCAAGTTTCAGGGAGGTGACGTTGGGACAGAGATAAACGAGATCTGTCGCGGGCTCGGTGACGCCGTGGAGGGTGAGCTGATGGATGGAGGGAAATGGCGGGTAGCTGGCGATGTCGACAGCGGCGGTTGGTCTAAAGTAGTTTAGAATGAGAGCGTATAGGCGAGGAAAGGATGCAATGGCGGAGATGAGGGAAGGGAGGTGGTCGAAAAGGTCCCTTCCTCCTTCATAGCGCAGACAGAGGCTCGTGAGGTTGGGAGAGGGAATGCTTTGGATCGTCGGCAGCATCTTGTTGTGGGCCCAGTTGCAAGAGAGCTTCCGGAGCTCGAACAGCTCCGAAAGAGCCACAGAAAAACGCGGGTCGTCGAAGTGGTGCAAAAGACTGGATATCACGAGGTGACGGATGTTCTTGGTTGCGAACAAGACATCAGGGAGCCTAGGTGCCTTGCCGATGAGATAGATCGCCATCTCACGAACATAACGAGCGTTGGTGCCGATGTTCTCATGCAACCAGGAGAAAGGAAGATGCCGTTTCAACGAAATGACCGTCCAGAGTCTTGGAGAGGAAACCGTATGGAAATGTTTACAGGTGAGCGACAAGACACACATATCTCGCTTCTGGAGATAGGAGAGGATGATGAGGAGAATATCGTCATTCAGATCCATGAAAAGTGCCATGGCGGAAACCTGGAAAGGAACAAATTAGCAGGTTTGTATGAGTAATACCCGCAAGGCAGCACTTGCGTTGGAGTCTTGACTTGGAGACGAGTAATGTCGAAGGGGGTTGGACAAGTGTGCGAAGTGATCGAACTGGAAACCAGGAGCATCAACCTGCTGTAAAATGAGGATCCTCGTTAGCGCATATTCCCATAACCCGTGTTTGGATGGTATGTTACCTGTGAACTCCGTATGTCGTGGTGGTACGCGACAAAGCAGAAACAGGAGACAGCGTCTGTTGCAGCTTATCTCATCAGCGCCAAATCTATGTCGATTAGATTAGATGTTCACGCAGCGTTGCAAGTCCATGAACGGGTCAGAAATGTAGCGAGCTCTCTTCGACCAGCCTCATGTGGACACCTAAGTACGTAGCGCGTCCTGACTCCTTCCTAGCATCAGCGATGCTCGCGACCATATCCAGCTTTTGCGCAGCACGCCAGCCTCCAAACATGTATCGTGAAGAGGCATTGGAACTTCAGGCCTCGCACAGTAGGGGCCGCGTGTCGAGGTATCAACTTCGGCTACGAACAGTCTCATTTTATGAGATGACTACTTATGCCATTTGCGATCCTATGACTATTAGTATCACCCTGCGGTGTGCGACGATATGGACAACATTCTAGTACATAGACGTCCGAGCACGCAAACCAGCGTCCAGACGAAACCTGCCTCACATCCTCGTCGGACCCGGCCCGCCTCCGCACCCGTACTTCGCCGTCAGCTGCGCGAACTGGTCCTCGTAGTAGTAGTACTGCCGCGCCCGCTCCGCCTCCTTCGCCCTCTCCTCTTCTGACGTCGGCCGCGACTGCGATTGCGGCTTCGGGGAGCGCGAGCGCGAACTCGACAGCGCGCGCTTCAGCCACGAGGCGGAGTTTGACTTGTGCCGCTGCGACTGCGCCGGCTGCGGCTGCGGCTGCGACTTGGGCGACCCGCGTTCGGGCGCGGGCGCGGACGCCGCGAAGCCGTACTGCGTCTGGAGCGCGCCGAATGCGGACTCATAGTCCTTCGTTTTGGGGGTGGCGGTGGCGGAGACCGCGGTGGAAGTGCTCGCGACGGAGAGGGAGGAGGGCGAGGATGGGACAGAGGTCATCGTGGTGCTTGCGGGCATCGTGTGGGTGGCGGTGTGGGTGGTGGCGAACGCCAGAATGTTGGAGAGGGTAGGATGTGCTTGTGTTGTGGGCGCGATGGGTGCGAGGCTGAGCGCGGCTGGAAAATGTGACGAGGATGGAAGACGACGCGCACCGTGCCAGCTTTATACGTGGTCCCGGGAGCATGGGACAGCAGTCGGAAGGGTCGTTGTGATGACATTGGACTGCGGAAGCTATGGGCGGGAGCGATGTGAGTCAACTGAGAGCCAATTTGAAGGCCGAATACCATGATTTGAAGATGGACCCACCGCGGGCGACGTGCGGCCGTCACACCGTCAGCGCAAACTGCCATGCTACTTACACCTGTGCTCAAGAAAAATGATTGCTCAGTATCGTTCCGCACGAACCAGACTGTCGTGCGCAGCGGGGATGGGTTGGAATGAGTGAGCGGGAAGGAGTCATATTCATCTCGGCCCGCGCCAATATGTTTCCCCCTCATCCGATCGGCCCCGATGCCGGCCGGCGCCTGTAGCCAACCGGAGCCGCTTGAGCAAGGCTTGTTTCTCGCTATTACATGACTACATAGCAGGGCCATAATCTCGCGCTACCTCGACGAGGACTTACAGCCCTGCACGCCTCGCAGTCTCAAATTCGCGGCTTGTATCGAAGAGTGGTACTTGCAATTCTGTGGTGCGTCCCTCAGCGCCTCAGGCCTCAACTTTGAGCGACAGGTAGTAGTAATTGACTCACTGACAACCTTATTGCAGTGCCGAGGACAGTCGTCCGAGTCACACTGCGCCTCGATCGTATCGGATTTGCACCGCTGGAATGGAACAGCTGTTGTTCTAATGACACTCCAGACTTGCAAGGGCCCCGGTATCGGAGTCGGCTCGGGTCTCCTCTGTTAGGTGCGCAGCCGTGTCGTCCTGCGTGCGTCTGCACAGGTCTGCACTTGGTATAAGATCGAGTGACACACCGCCGCGACGCTCCCACTCGTCTGCATTCCTCGAGTTGACACCGACACCTCTACTTGCCGTGCGGTCTCCACCTCCTTTCGCGCCCACCATCCTGGCCCACATCCCTACCACGACCACGACCCACACCATCGCCGCGTCCACCATGCCCTCGAGCACCATGACATCCATCCACTCATCGCCGTCCCTCACCTCCCTCGCGAGCACCTCCACCGCCGTCTCTACCACACCCATCTGCAGCCCAAAACCGAAGGACTCGGAGTCCGAGTCCGGGCGAGTCGGCTCCCACCTCTCCACGTACCCCGGCGCGCCGCGTTCCAAACCGCAATCGTGGCTGAAGCGCGCGCTCGGTGCGACACACTCGGGCTCGGGCTCGAGCCCCGCGCCCAAAATGAAACCACCGATGACGGAGGAGGAGCGGCGGAAGGACGTAGCGCGGCGGGCGCGCGAGGCCGAGCTCGCGAAGTTCACGGCCAAGTACGGGTTCAGCGGCGGTGCGGGTCCGATCCGGTGACGCAGCGAACGATGTTTCTGTTTCCTACTCAGATGCTTACTCGGTGATCGTTACCTTACTCTCCCTGTGGTCTTATGTATGATGCGCGCGAGCGTTCGTGGGTAATACAGTACTGATATGGTTCCGACTCTAATTTCTGATCTGGTTGTGCCTTCTACCTTCTGCCTTGACCATACTCACCACCATCTATGTATCAACAATGCAACTGGATCACGAGCAATCTTAAGGTAGATATCCACATTATCTCTTTCTATGCTCTGTGGTCAGGGGTTGTACCGACACTTGTCCATGTATACAGCTGCGCAAGCGCAAAGTCAGCATCCAGCTTGAACACCAAGGCATCCGATCTACTCACCGTCCAGGTCTGCGACGCGGTACTTCTCCGCATCTTCCACCAGCCTCTGCGCTTGCTCTCCGTACTCGCGCCAGAGCTCGACCAGCTTCCGCTCCGCCCCTTGGCCGTCGACGCGCCACCACCGCGTGTTCCGCTCGCCGTGCTCCTCCCTCCATTCCGCCAGGTCCTCCAGAATCCATTGCTGCGTGTTGTCCATCGCCGCGTCCGGCAGCGCCGCGGTCCCCGTGATCCCCAGCACTCGCATCTTCGAGAGCGCGGCAAGCAGCTTCGCGGGGAGCGCGTCCAGGCGTTGGACGCGCTCCAGCTCCTTGTAGGGCGGGCCAGGGCTGTGGCGCCGGCCGTTCGACGGGTTCATGGGGCTGGCGTCGATGAATAGGCAGCGCAGCGGGAGCCGCGCCAGCGCCGCCGGCAGCGTTTCCTGCGCGACTAGCGTCAACGAGGCGAGGTTTGGAATGTCCGCGGCACACGGACTCACCGGGAGCTTCCAATAGTCTCGTCCGACGCGGCGCAGGGTGAGCGCGCGGAGGCGCGGGAGCACGCGCGCGACCTCGGTCCACATCCGGCCGTCGAGCTTGTTGTCCGTGCTCTGGAAGCCCGCGTGCACTGGAAGGGTGAGCGCGCGCGGCTGGAGCGCCGCGAGGAGGCGGGTGAGGCGGCGCGACGTGGCGGCGTCGACGGCGGTGACGCCGTCGCGGGTGAATTCCCACTCGCCCGCGGCGAGCTCGAGGTGCGGGACGGGGCTCGCGCGGCGCTCGAGGAGCTCGACGAGGATGGTCTGCAGCTCGTCGAACTCGAGCGCGATCACGCCGGTGCCCCATCTCGTCGCGTCGTGGAAGGCCACGGTCAAGCGGCGGGACACCTTGGGCCATCTCGGCCGGGGATCCGTGTGGCCTTGCATGTTGTGCGTTTCGTGGTCCTGGGAGAGCTCGATCGTGTCGAGGTTGGGGCAGAAGTAGAGGATGTCCGTGGCGGCGATGGAGACTGCCTTGAGGGCGATATGCCGGATGGACGGGAACGATGATGCAGATGCTTGGATAGAATCGAGAGAAGTCGGTCGTGGGACGAAACTACATAGGGTGAGAGTGACGAGCTTGGGGAATGATTTGAGTACAGAGACAAGAGGAGGAAATTCGTGCCTCCAGTTGACATCGAACCGAAGACTGAGGTCGGCGAGGTTGGACGAGGGGATGGATTGGACCATCGGAAGTACGTCGTCAAGCAAGACGGGAGAATAACTGAGTGCTCGTAGATCCTTCATTCGAGTGAGGGCGCGGACGATCGATGGATGGCCCGTCCAACTATGCTGGAATACGTAGGAAAGACTCAGGCTGCGGAGGTTCTTGGCGGTCCTGAGGATGTCGGCCACGTCCTTTATGTTTTCGTCTTTATTCGACATCAAATCTAAGTCGAGGCCACGCAAGTAGGTCGCGCAGGAAGAACCAGGCCGGCAGATCGCCTCAGCCGTCCGATGTAGTTTGTATTGTTCCTCGTAGGATATCGTCACGCTGCAGCTTGGACAGGAAAGCGCGTACATGAACTTGCATGTATAAGCGAGTTGTACTGCATCGTGGCCTGGAAGATAAGAGAGGACGGCAAGGAGGATGTCTTCGTTGAGCCGGTTAACAATCGAAGAGGACATCGTGACGACTGCAGGGTCCGATGAGTCACAACGGATCGCACACGAACGTATAGACACTGACTGGATGGATTGTAGGACGCAAGGTGACTTGATGGATGAAGGTAAGAGGTGTCCGTTACGCCCTCGCACGACCAGTATGCTTAGTCATGTATACTACGTTCCCACGCGTTGTATCGACGTTTGAACACGGTTGAGCCTCCCGCGCAGCGTCCCGGCACCGAGTCTGAGCCCGTTCAGACGAGCGGGAAAAGCCGGTGCCAAACTGGCACGAACTACGCACGTCGCGAGAGCGGCCAGTCCTCCAAGTGGACGCGCTGAGCACGCCGCGCTTTTCTCCGCCGCCGTGCGTCCTCACCGCTCCGGGAAGTGCATGCGCGCGCTGCCGTGCACCCTCCAGCGGGAGGCCCACGCGCACCTCGACGCGCTCACGGCGCGTCACCAACCTCCTCCTCCTCCTCCTCCTCCTCCTCCACACAACTCGGGAGCTCCAACCCCTAACGGGTGCTTCTGATGAGTCAATGGCGTGCGTGGCGCGAGCCCCTCTCGCCGGACAGTATGAGGAGGACGCAGGGTGGCTCCATGCCAGCTCAACCCTTCCGTGCTGCTGCCAGGCGCGACTCGAGGTTTTAGAGCCACGTACCCACCACTGTACCCTTCTCTTTTCTGTTTTGTATGTACATTTTTAGCGCCTATCGTCGGAAATCTCTGCATCGCGCTCCGTGGGCACCTGGGTCTCCAGGGCTGGACGGTCGAGTTTCGCTCTATTTTTCGTCTAGTGCGCCTCGACCAAGCTATCTCTCCCCTCCAAAAAGATCAGAAAAATATCGAGTCGCGCGGGCGATTCACTGTACACTGTCGGGAAACCAACACTGCGGTCAGGGGTTGTACCGGCACTTGTCCATGTATATAGCTGCGCAATGGGAAACTCAGCCATCCGGCTTGAGTATCAAGGTATCCGATCTACTCACCGTCCAGGTCTGCGACGCGGTATTTCTCCGCATATTCCACCAGCCTCTGCGCGTGCTCTCCGTCCTCGCGCCAGAGCTCGACCAACTTCCGCCCCGCCCCTTCACCGTCAACGCGCCACCACCGCGTGTTCCGCTCGCCGTGCTCCCGCTTCCATTCCGCCAGGTCCTCCAGACCCCATTTGTTGCTGGTGCCCAACGCGGCGTCCGGCAGCGCCGCCGTCCCCGCGATCCCCAGCACTCGCATCTTCGTGAGCACGGCGAGCAGCCTCGCGGGGAGCGCGTGCAATGCTTCGACGCGACTCAGCTCTCTGTAGTCCGCGCCAGGCATGAGGCCGTCCGACGGGTGAGCCGGCGGGCTCGCGTCGATGAACAGGCAGCGCAGCGGGAGCTGCGCCAGCGCCGCCGGCAGCGTTTCCTGCGCGACTAGCGTCAGCGAGGTGAGGTTTGGAATGCCCGCGGCAGACGGACTCACCGGGAGCCTCCAGTTGTCGGTTCCGACGCGGCGCAGGGTGAGCGCGCGGAGGCGCGGGAGCACGCGCGCTCTCTCGCTCCACATCCGGCCGTCGAGCACCTTATCTGGGATCCGGAACCCGGCGTGCACTGAGAGGGTGAGCGCGCGCGGCTGGAGCGCCGCGAGGAGGCGCGCGAGCTGGCGCGACGTGGAGGCGTCGACGGCGGTGACGCCGTCGCGGGTGAACTCCCACTCGCCCGCGAGCTCAAGGCGCGGAACGGCGCTCGCGCGGCGCTCGAGCAGCTCGACGGCGGCGGTCTGCAGCTCGGCGTCGGGGAGCGTGTCGACGCCGTTGCCCCATCTTGTCGGGCGGTGGATGGCCACGGTGAGCCGGCCCGAGACCTTGGGCCATCTCGGCCGGGGATCCGTGTGGCCTTGCATGCAATGTCCCTCGTGATTTGGTGAGAACTCGATCGTGTCGAGGTTGGGAAAGAGGTAGAGGATGTCCGTGGCGGCGACGGACACGTTCTTGAGCACGACATGCCGGATGGACGGGAACGATGTCCGGGTAGCATCAAGAGAGGTCGGTTGAGGGACAAAATTACCTAAGGTGAGGGTGACGAGCTTGGGGAATGATTCGAGGACCGAGAGTAGAGGAGGAAACACGTGGTCCCAGTGGTCATCGTACCAAAGACTGAGGTTAACAATGTCAGGGGAGGGGATGGATTTGATCATCGGAAGTACGTCGTTGTGGAAGATTGGAGAATAATCGAGTGACCGCAGTCGCTTCATTTGAGTCAGAGCGTGGACGATCGAGGGGTATCCCATCCAACCGTGCGGGATCACGGTGGAAAGACTCAGGCTGCGGAGGTTCTTGGCGGTCCTGAGGATGTCGCCCACGGCCTTTATGTTTTTTTCTTTATTCGATATCAAAGCTAAGTCGAGGTTGTGCAGGTAGGTCGCGGAGGAAGAACCAGGCCGGCAGATCGCCCCAGCCGTCCGATGTAGTTTGTGTAGATCCCGGTGGGATATCTTCACGCTGACGCTTGGACAGGAGAGCGCGTACATGAACTTGCATGTACGAGCGAGTCGCACCGCGTCGTGGCCCGAAAGATAAGAGAGGGTGGCAAGGAGGATGTCTTCGTTCAGCCGATAAATGGTTGAAGTAGACATCATGAAGACTGCAGGGCCAAATGGGTCAGGTAGTACGAATGTGGCACATGAATACTGACCGGAGAGTTATTGAGATGCAAGTTGATGGACAAAGAAGACACGGGGTCAGGTACGCTTTTAGGCCTTTAGAAATTAGGGGCGGCTGGGATGGACCTTCCCTCAGTCACATCCGCACGCTGTCTGCACTTCCACACACTCCGGGTAGTCCGACCGGCTCATGCCCACTGCCCGATTCCGCTCCGCACTCCCGCCCTCAACCCGCCGCTACCATGTGTGGCTCGGACATGCACATGGACCGGTGTGCTTCGAGTGAAACCGTTCGCGTTCAGCACGCATGAGATCGTAGATGATGGTGGGCGCATACTGCATGTCATGAGGATAGTACATATGCGATGCGGCGACATACAAAGCGTGTGGATGCGGCTGGCAGCGAAGCGACAGGTGCGCCATGATTTTACCCCTCCCCGGGAGCACCCCTACAGGCAGACAGAGAGTCCGACGCTCACGCCTTGGAGAGCGCCTTGCGGACGACGTCTCTCCGGCCCTTCTTCGCGAGCATGACGCAGAAGCGCTGGAAGTCGTTGAGCGACCGCCGCTTGGCGACGGCCTCCCGCTTCTGCGCCCAGGACGACTTCTGCCACTTGTCGATAGTACCCTCCTTCTCGAGGAACTTGCGGACGACGCCTGTGCCGGCGCCGCGGGGGAGTTTGGCTACGACGAGGGGCGTGAGGGTCATGTGGCGGTAGGGGAAGGATTGGCGGGGGACACCAGTGAGGGGACCATCAATGATCGCCTACGTGCGAGGTTCAGGACCCGAGAGTGCAGGGAGAGACCTGGCCACGCACCCGGTTGTGGTCAATGATCTCCGCAATGACGGCGATTTGACCCTCCTGCGGTCCGGACTTGAGGAGGACGACTGAACAGGGCGTGCAGAGGTTGAACGCTCCAGGTGTGCACGCAAAATGGGAGCAAGGGACGTACCACGGCCGACCTCGACGAAACGGGTGAAGTTGGAGGGTTGTTCCTGCATGGTGAAAAGCAAAATGAGCACCGGGCACGATCTTTGACTAGTTGCACGCTGCTGAGTAGAATTGCAGAAGTGCGGCCTTCGACCGTCATCCAAACGCGCCGTGTGCCATCCATCCACAAAACAAGCTCCTTTCGATAGGAGCACCTCCCCAGCCAACCCAGCAGCATCCTAGCAGCCCTCTTAACGGACTCAGGTACTCACCGGCATGTTGAAGGGCTTGAGGATGGCGTTGGCGTTGGCGTTGTCGAGGCCGAGGGACGCGCTGGGGCAGAAGAGAGTTGCTTACGTGATCCAGACCGTGGCTGTCAGCGTCTCCTACCCCGTCGGCCCGACCCATAGATAGACGCCCTGCTCTCACTCTCTTCCATCCATCCCTCGCACTGTGCACATGTCTCGCTATGTTCTCTTCTATGGTGCGCCCTCGGCAACTGACCTTCGAAGCGATCATGAGTGGAAATCCATTTCTCCCGATTTCGCCAATCGCACCACGTACACACTCCCACCCTCTACCCTTGCGTCCGCGAACAGGCGAATATCCAACATGTACGAAAACGTCATCTTCATGGACCAAGACGATGTTTCAGAGGATATAGAGGAGGACTCAGGTATGTCTTGGTCACTTCTGTTGCGCCCTTCCTCCCCTCATATCCCGGAAGCGGAGACGACGGCTATCACTTGGCCCCCTACTTTCCAGAGAACGGACGGCAGTCTGTCCAAGGCATACCTCTCCCGGAACTCTCTCGGAGGCTCTCGCTTTCTCTCTCAGTTCACACAAGAGACCCAAGACAATTTTGCCGACTCCCACACGTCCTCCATCATCGACTTCCCCGCCTTCCACTTCAGCCTCCACTCCCTCACATCCCTCGACAATCTTCTCGCACGAGCATCATATGATATCCAGCATGGCCTCCGACAGAAGCAATCCCAGAAGATCAACCTGCTTGCTGCCGTCCTAGATGTGCAAGGCCCCGACCCATCCGACTGAAGAAGGGCCCCGAAGCCGGCACCGAGATCTCGGTGCTGAAGCTCGTCCTCGGCGACGACTCCGACGGCATATGCCAGCTCACGGCGTGGCGGGGCGTCGCAGACGAATGGGCCGGCTACTCGACAGGATCTCCGTCCATCAAGAAAGGGGACGTCGTGTTCATCGAAAGTGAGCTCTTCCGCCCCTGCTTCGCTTGCCGCGTTCTCATACTTCCCGGTGGTGGGCAGACATCCTCGCCTCGTGGGGAGGAGACTCTGCGCAGACCCCGATGCCCCGCCCGTCGCGTGCTCGGCTTCGCCGCAGTACAAGTCCACTCTTATGATCTGCTACAGGACTATGCCCGCGGTCGCGGAGGATGCGCGTTTGCGCCCTGACCTCCGGTTGGGGCTCAGCGACGCTGCCGTCCGGAAGGTTGCAACCCTTGTGAGATGGTTCGAAGGCATGGCGGGCCTCTCATGATTTCCATGACGGCAAGCGGGTTCCTGGAGGATTCGGACTCTACACGAAGGTGAGTGCTGTATTCCGTGCTGTAGATGGTGTAGGATACATCCTCGGTCCTACCACCGACAGACGTGTACCGTGTAGTCCACGCATCACAATCACATTACCTTTGGACTTAACCCCCTGGAAGCGATCAGGCACGCGAGCACGTCCGCAGCGACCGCTGGTACCGAGCGCGAACATTGACTATGACACACCGCAGCCTCGCCAGCACATCATCCTCTTCCAAATGAGGTTGTGGGGAACGACTGTGTCATACGCAGCCACTGCGTGCTGGCCACATGTACACGCGCGCGCAGGTGCTCAAATACGGCTGCGCGTGCGTTTGAGGAGTCAGGACCTTAGCTCCTCCCGACGGCCGAAGCACGGTTCGAAGGCTACCGGTGCTCAACATGCAATCGGACCTCGACTCTTGGCCTAGTACACTTTCTCAGCCGGCGTATCTCACCCGAGGGCCGACATACAAACCAGGACAAGTGGTCACTTGACTCTCGAGGATCCAGCACAGTTCCCATCACGACGGTCCCGATGTCGATATCGGAGGTTCGATTCATCTCGGAGGCCATATCGCCCACGAGTCATCCGGAAGGACCGACTCTTCCACCTCCCGGCGCCGAACCCCATCGCCCCGAAGCCCGCCGCGCATCTTTGCACGCACAAAACCCGCGCAGGACCCGTACGCGGCGTCTAGATTATCAAGTGCGGTGACCTCCTCTCGTTGACTCGAGTCCGGTGTCGAAGCTTCGAAAGTTTGTCTGCAGCGGCCCTCGCCGCGGCAAACGAGCAAACGAACGAACGAGCGAACGAACGAACGCCCATCGGCTGCTGTGATCGGACTCGGACTCGGACCCGCGCGCGACGGGCGGTTTTTCGAAATGCAGGCTCAGGACCGAGCCGCGAGCCCGAGGGCGTTGGCCTCGTCCACACATTGCGGTCCAGTCGATGTCAGCCCGTCGAGTCATAGCCGGCAATTCCGTCCCACCGGCGTTGTGTATGTCCACACTGCACCGGTGCGGTGTGCTAGCGGGGTCGGCGCACGGTCTATCTGAATATGAACGCCCTGGCCGGCAGGGCAATCATATAAAGGGCTTTAGAGTCCCCGAGCCTGTCAAGTACTACAGTCCACTGCATTTCGAATCGCAACCCTCTCCGCCGCCGCCGTCGCCAGTTGCGGTCGAACCACCTCCATACGACTTCAGACAGCCCCCGACGCACCACAATGTCGTCCCTCCCATCCTCGCCCTCCCTCGTCTCCGTCGCGAGCACCTCGACCGTGGCTTCCACGACCCCACTCAACCCCTCCTCCTCCAAGGACGCCGACGCCTCGCCCCCATCCTCCGCATCGCAGTCCAAATCCTGGCTGAAGCGCGCGCTCGCCAAGTCCTCCACACCCGCACCCGCAACCCCCACCTCGGCGCGCACACCCGCCCCAGCGCCGATGACGACGAGGAAAAAGTGAAGGCGAAGGCGCGCGAGGACGAGCGCGCGCGGCAGCAGTACTACGAGGCGCAGGTCGCGCAGCTGTCGGAGAAGTACGCGTTCGGGGGCGCGGCGACGCCGTCGAAGCGGGGTTGACGAGCGTGAAGAGAGTGTCGAGTGTCGAGTGTCTGGAGGCGGACTACAGAAGAGGGAGGAGCGCGCGGACGGACGGACGGCTGGGTTTGTTATGCGCCTTGGAAGTCAGAGTAGAGTTCCGTGGCCGTCCTGGCTTGTTGTATGACTAGCTGGTGTGCTCGTATGGTTTCCTTTTTGTTCGTTATATCCGAGTTTTATGAAAAGCAGACAGTCAGCCGTCTGCCCAGACATTCGTCAGACGGAACCAAGCCCACCTGACCGCCCAACGGTTCTGATTCTAACGTCACCTTCCAGAAGAAGCAGAGTGCATACAGACACGCGCACGCAAAAGAAGTTCGTCCCATATCGTGTCATTGGTCGTTCTCTTCCACGCCGCCTCCCGGAGGCAGCGCGGGACCGTCGTCGTCCGGCTGGATATCCTACATACATAGCGAAGCGCAAAATGAAACAAATAAAGCGCAAAAAGAACCGAAGAACGAAGAGCGAAGAGGGAGAGGCGCATAAATACAGACACGGAAAGCAGGGACCCCGCGGGCAGGCGTGTCAAGGAAAAGTGGCTGGCTTCCGGTCCACAGAGCTATAGGGAGCTGGCGTCCACTCACTTGCGCCAGAAGACCCACGCCTCCAGGATATCCTGCGACGCGAGACGACGTCAGCTCTGGCGCGGGGCGAGAAGAGCAAAAGGCGCGGCTCACTCTTTGCGTGCCGAAGACGAGGAACGCGACCACGGGCACTGCACAGACGATGATGTCAGCACCGCCCATGTGGCAAAGAGGCATTGCTGCAGCCGAGAAAGAGAGAGGGACGCACTAAGCGAGATGAGGATGTTGCCCGCGAAGAACGAGACGCCCGAGAGGAAGATGAACGTGCAGCCGATGCCGACGACGCACACGAAGCTGAACAGCGCGACGCGCAGGAGCAGGTTGAACGGGATCTGGCCGGGGTGGTCCGACCCGCGCAGCGCGCGCCAGTTCTTGTACAGGACGACGCCGATGTAGACTGCGCGTCGCGCGCGTGGTCAGCGCCCAGGTGTCAGAGGTGGCAGACAGAATCCACTTACTGTCGAACCCGACCATCACGAGGAGGATGGCGGCGACGACCATGGCGGTGATGTTGCCACTAGAGGTCCCGTGCGGCACCGAACGCAGAAGGTCGAATCCAGGGGCGGGAACCCATGAGGAAACAGGCAAGGCGATGTCCAACAGCATCCCGGGGATCCCAGAAGCAGGCGATATATCAATCAATCAGCAAAGAGGCCGAGTGCACGTAGTTGGCACTCACGCTCGGCCACCTTGAAGTGTGCAGTAGACGAGATGGCCTGCGCGCTCAACAGACGACGGGTTGAGAGTGCCGATCTGTTCGGGGCGGCGCGAGAGCGGCAACGCGTTAGTTACGCGTTCCACGGGGACGGCGATGCGCGGGTGAGGGTGGAACACGTACCACAAGGATGGCGACGACGAAGCCCAGCCATGCGATGTAAGGTGCGAGCAGAAGCTGCGGGCGCGTCAGTCAAATGTCGACCGGCGATGCGCGGGCGAGCAGGGATGTGGATGTATGCGCGCGAAAAGGTATGAAAACTCACGAAACCACTGAATACGGTGTCGCGCGTGCGAGGCGCTTTGGGCGGGTGCAGCGCGGTCTTCAGGGTCACCCAGAGCTGGAGCACGAGCGCGAACGTGGACATCGCGACACTGTGGGGAGATGCAGCGCATATGGACTGTGAGAAACACCGCAGATGGCGCACGGGGTGGACGGCACTCACAGAACGGGTGCGGCATAGATGAGCGATGCTTGGGTGAGGCAGAGCGGGAACGAGGGGGGTTCTGGGCGCAACTGCTGTCCGGCAAACGCGCTAGGATTCCCAAAGTCCGGGGTGCGTGACGCAGCAGAAGAGAAGAGGTAGAAGCGCGACTTGAGCGCGCGAACGCGAGAGCAAGGGAAGGGATTGAAGACTCACAGGAGGGTGTAGGAGATGCAGTAGATCAACCATGTTATGCAGAAGTTGAGCCAGGTGAAATGGCGATAGATCTTGGGTGCAAAAAGGGCGGTGACCAGAACAGCGAACAGGCCTGCGGCCCCGATGAACTGGAAGGTGAGGAAGACCTTCACCTCAGTCGTATCCTGAGTTGAGGGGACAGGCGGCGCAGCAAGAAAAGCGTAGGCGAGCACGTGTAAGATTGGGTTTACGGGGGAGTGGATGCAATGTACGCACGTCGGTGGTCCCTGCGAGACTGTCGCCCTCTGCGCGTGCATACATCGGTATCATTGTGGTCGGGTGAGTGGATACTGGGCTCCGGGTCAAATGGCTGTCCTAAACGAGCGAGAACGGGTGGGCAAGCAGGGTGGACGAGAGAGCTCCAGGCCAGCCGGGGAGAAGGAAAGAAGAGAAAGGAGAAGGAAACCAGCCGGGCTGCCGCGGGCAGCAGAAGACGAAGAGAGAAGGACGGGGGACGAAGAAAGAGACGGCGGGCGCTGTGGACGGGACATGGGCATATGATGGACAGCGGGGCCAGCAACGCGAAGGGCCGCACCGAATGGCAACAGGCCGTCACCCACATCAAATGATCCTCTCCGCCCGGCCAAGGCCAGTCGCAAGTCGTACTCGGGGCGGTGCGAGGGTGATCCCAACCCTGCAGGCGCCCCTCGTCCTGTTTCTCAATCCTTCCCCATCACGACGTCCTCGCAGTCCTTCGAAGCTTCATTTACGGGGCGAAGCTGCACCATCGACAGATCCTGTCCTATGCACCCAATCACATACCCAGAGGGCGGGTGCGAGCGGGTGCGATACATCGCACCAAAACACGATTCCGTGCACAGTGTGCGATGCCCGTGGCTGGCATTGATGCATTGCGACGTCATGTGTCTTGCCTTTGCTTCTGTCAGTGGAAGGCAAAACCTTCTCGACCTTGATTTATCTCATCTCAGCCCCCACGGCAACCTCGCATCCATGGGATACAACAATGCATCAACGAGGGCGTACCAGACATCTTGCAAACCGGCCGCCGCATATTCGATGTAGTACCAAACGCACCTATCTCATCATGACGTCGAGCAAGAACCCTCCATTGGAACAACCGAACCACCGAGCCCATTGGCAATCCAGCCCCGCCTCCAACCGGCCGAGCCTCTATCTCGACCCCCTCCACCGCGCTCTTCCCTCCCTCGCTCCCGCACCACCCTCGCCCGATCGAACGTCAGCGCCGCCACCGGCAGCAAGTCCCACATCTCCCCGCTCGCGACGACGAGGATCTTGAGCGTCATGCCCGCCGCCGCGAGCTGCCCGCCCGCCCTCGCCTCCGCGGCACGCACCTGCGGCGGCGCGCTCCCCGCCCCGTGCCCGAGCGCGTACGCCAGCGCCGGGCTCACGACCGCCGCGACCTTGACGACGACCGCCGCGTCCGCGAATAGGCTCCGCGCGACCCGCCGCCAGTCCGTGCGCGCGCCCGGGGGCGGGTCTAGAGCGGCGCCGCCACCGCGCTGGCGGATGTCGGTGCGGAAGGCGAGGAGGAAGGCGGCGATGGCGAGCGTCGTGGGCGCGTAGCAGATCGTCGCGCACACGGCGCCGATGATCCCCGTCGCGACGGGTGCGGGGTAGGAGGCGTAGAGGGGCCGCGCGGCGTGGTGCGCGAAGCGGGCGCTGAGGTCGGACGCGAGGTTGAGGAGGAGGAGGAAGGTGACGATGATCGTGAACGCTCTGCGTGCGAATGTGTAGAAGTGCGTTGGAGGAGGAGGTGGAGGAGGAGGATCGATGGGGTGTTCGTTTCGCGCCTGTGGTTGGCGGCGGGCGCGGGTAGACATGCCTTCGGATAGAGTGCCTTTGTGGTGGGAAGAGGAAAGCTGTTTTGTTATGGATCGAATGAGGAATAGATAATGGTGCGTGACAGAGCGGAGATAGGATTCTGAAGCACAGGCTCATATGCCAAGGCTGCAGAACCTCACGGAGGGACACATGCACAACATGTGGAAGAGGTGCGTCCAACGACTGACGTACTGAGCCGTTTCGCAACACAAGTGTCAGTGCGATCTATTTTCCTACAGTTTCCTGTTACACATGCACCAGGCGAGGACACTATATGCGCATTAGTACCCAGTATGCGTAGACAGCCCCTTGGAAAACCGCTCACCAGCTGAGCATTTACGTGCCAGTAATTGAAACAGACGTTACGAGCAGGTCAGAGGTCAGACTAGGACGGAGTTGAGAAAACAGAGCAGCAGCTTCGAGTAAGACAGGTTGCAGAGGCGACAGAGCACAACGCCAGCGACGTCGACGGCGTGTGCAGAGAGTAGGCGGCCGGTCGCAATGACGTCTGGCTGATGTGACTTGGCGGCGGAGTCCCAACCTAATCTCCTAATCTTATCGGCCTCTGTCATCCGGCTGACCGCTGGTGGCATGCGATCGCGCGATAGATCCAACAGCGCTCGCATGCCGGGCGGCGGGAATATCAACGTTTCTGCTCGTCCGATATGTATGAGTAAACTTTACGAGAAATGTAGTGTTTTTGGTAGCGTTCTGAGCCCGTCAGAATGATACATTTCGCGCGCATTAAAACTTTACGTACCTCGACCTAATCCCGAGTCCTCAAAATGAAACATTTCTGTGCCTGCACATTGCACAATGATATCTCACACATAGAGCTCTGGCGGCCCGGGAACGATATACCAAATATATCGTCGCGAATCGGGAAACTTTGAGTTCCCGGGCCGCCAGAGCTCTATGTGTGAGATATCATTGTGCAATGTGCAGGCACAGAAATGTTTCATTTTGAGGACTCGGGATTAGGTCGAGGTACGTAAAGTTTTAATGCGCGCGAAATGTATCATTCTGACGGGCTCAGAACGCTACCAAAAACACTACATTTCTCGTAAAGTTTACTCATACATATCGGACGAGCAGAAACGTTGATATGTATTCAGATATTCCCGGCGTGCCAGTCGCTGACGTTGTCCTCTATCATCCATGGCAGCCCTGCACCCACGCGCACTCAAAACCGTCCAAGGCTTAGCTACCCGTCGTCGACATCCAACGCAGACAACTTCTGTGTCAAGCTCGCCACCCTGGGCTTAAACTGAGCAGCGAACGGCAGCGGGTGAGAAAGCGCTGCATCCGCGACCGCCAGCGAATCGATCGGGCGCGTCGGGTCTTCCGAAATCTCGAACGCCCAGAGCGCCAGCGCGAGGTTGATGAAGACAGACCTGCGGACTCAGTTCAGCACAAAATGGGGGCGCACGAGGCTGCGGAAGACGAACCTCTCCGCGAGGTGTTGTCCGGGGCACACCCGTCGCCCGAACCCGAAGTTGAACGACCTGATGTCGTCTCGCATCTGTCCCTTCGCATCGAGCCAACGCTCTGGACGGAACTCTTCTGGATCGTCGAAGACCTCTTCGTCCCGACCGATGGCCCTACCCAGAACTTGGTCACTCATTTGTGACATGGAGCAGCTCCGACTCACCAGTGGCATCCCACGACCTCTGCGCCGGCGGGAATAACATAGTCCTTCTGCGAGCGTTCAGCTTCGTCAAGGCTCATGGTGACGGAGGACCAAGGATCGTACCCAGACCACGTCTTGAGTCGCTCTGTGCGTAAACCCTGATCACAGCGCACAATCAGCACTGACCACCGCATACAGGCGACAAGATCGAACCCTGCGGTGCCAGCGGGCGCCATCGGTACAGTTCCTCCGCGAATGCCCAGATTTCAGGCAGCCGGTCTTGGTCTGAGAACGTTGGTGCTGTGGCCAATCGCGTCTGTTAACCAGTCACCAGACGAACTCCAGTCAGACACGCACCTCGATCGCGGCCGACCACGGCATCCAGCTTGTTCTGAACCCAGCGCTGGGCGTCAGGGTAGAGCGCGGCGGCCATCACCATGTAAGTCAGGACCCCGGCCGTCTATTATTTCTCAAAGTCTGCCCATATTCAAGCGGAACGGGAACAGACGCACCGTATCTGATCCTGCGCCGAACATCGAACCGGCGAGGTACGCGAGCTCGTCGTCCGAGAGCTCCATCTTCTCCTGGTTATCGAGAAGGTACGTCACGAAGCACGGTTGCACACTGTTCGCCGTCTGACAGTCCAACCGCGTCAGCGCACAGGACGACCGAACGACAAACGTCCTCCGTACCACTTTGCGCCGCACGGTGTCCACCTGCCGCGTGTACAGGTCGAGCTCTTCCCTGTGGAACCGGTCGAGCTCGGACGTGAAGCCCGGGACGTGCTTGAGGATCGGGTACGAGTCGACGAGGTAGGCCCCGGGGACGAGGGCCTTCATCAACCGCTCGGCGTTCCGGTTGATCTCCTGCACGATCATGTCCCCGTACGACGTCGGGGTCGTCTTCCCGTACGTGACCGTCAGGATCACCGTCGCCGCGTACCTGCAGCCCCGCGCCCACACGCCATCAGCCCCGGCATCCACGCCCGCAAGGAAAGCAAACCACCCACCGTCGGGCGTGCTCCGCGAACCGCGCGGGGTCCTCCGCGACGTCCCGCACGAACTGCCGCGCCGCCTTCCCCTGCACGCGCTCGTACCGCGGCGCGCTCGCCGGCTGCAGCGCGGCGTGCAGGGCGGCGCGCAGCCGGCGCAGACGCGCACCCGCGCCGACGAGCAGCACGCGCATCCCGCGCGAGACGAGCTCGTCGGCGGCGACGTGCCGGGGGCGGTCCGCGAGGGCGGGCGCCTGCTGGACCATGATGTCGAGCGCGGCCTGTGCGGGCGCGGTCGTGGCTTCCGTCAGTATTCCGGTCTTCGTCCGCAGGCGGCGTGCGAAGGGGGGGGGGGTAGGGGAGCGGGACGCCGGGGCGCGGGACGCCGGGGCGCGGGAAAGAGGGTCATGGTGTCGGTGAGAGAGTGGGCACGCACCTGGTGCCCGGCAATCACGCAGACGATGCGAGAGCCATAGCGCAGGGTGAAGACGGGGCCGTACGTCTTCGCGAGCTCGGTGTAGTATCGATGGGCGCTGCGCAACGGTGGTGAGCGAGCTGTGGGCGGGGCGGTGGAGGGAACGTACTACGGCGGGGGCTGCTGGTTGCCGATGAGCCAGTGGCTGGGAGGCCCGGGGGGCAGTTTGCTTGCCAGAGTGCGCGTACGGAGGTAAGGGCGCACGAATGAGGCAAGCCCCACTGCGGCGATGAGGGTGATGGCGAGGGTGATGGGTTGTAGGACGTTGACCGTAGACATGCTGGATGGAGGGTGTGGACGAGTGGGAAGAGTGCGCGGCACTTATAGGAACGCTATTTGCCATTACTCGTGGTGTGAGGACTGATGGGAGTAGAGAACGGAGCAGACAGAGCGCCCGCCGAGCCAGTCGGTGAGCCAGGGTCGCGATCGAGCGACCAACTACCAGCTAGCACGTATCTTGACAGACAACAATAACCACAGCGTGATGAATGCGTTATCTTATTCAGAGGACGTGCTAGCTGTGTCCATTTCGGCGTCTGCTTGGCGTCACCACCACCCGGGGCCAGGAGCCATAGAACGTGGGCCTGAACTTGTCCACAGATAGAAGCCCTGACGCGGGCGCGATCCTACCAGCTTCGCAACTCTTGCAAGCATCGGATCGAAACTAAACCGGGGAGCACTAACCCCCATAAAGGCTGTCGAGGACGGCCAGCTGCGACCCAAGCCCATGTGCCGATCCCGCGCCGCATCTCGAGATCACCGCCGTGCGCGCGCAGTAGACTCGTACGACGGTGGCTGGCTGGCACCGGGTCCGCACCCGGTGTTGATTATCTTATCTCCTACGATACAGCTCGAGGACGGACGTCCGATACTGTCTTACCTATTTTAGTTTAGTTGGTACTGTACAGTTCTTCGGCGCTCTCCGAGGAGCCCCGGCATAGCGCTCGCTCGGCCGCTCGCTCATACCTCAGTCGTTACTGTCCCCGACTGAGGTATGTGTTTCCGTTCTATGTATCATTACTCTATTCCTATACTTACATATCTTGTACCTAGCTCGCACTCACTGTGTGTCGTTAGGTACAGCAATCTAGTCGTTACTGTCCCCGACTGAGCTCGCACTCACTGTGTGTCGTTAGGTTATGAGCCCTGTCCGCGTCTAGACAGAGCGAGCTCACCTACACGGCGGACTATATCCGTGATCAACCACACATCACGAAGAGGAGCTGGACAGCTCCTGTGAATGCCCAAATCCGACCCGGATCCAGACCCCACATCTACTCCTCCGAGTCCCGGTCCGATGGCAGGTTCTTCTGGCGCCGGATCCTCGGATGCGTGGGTCATCCCTTCAATGTCCGGTTCTCTTCCCACGACGCATCCGCTCACCGGAGAAGAGACCTACACGCCGTGGTCGAAGAGGATGACGGCCGCATTCCGACACGCTGGAGTTTGGGAGGTCATTAACGGCAGCACCCCGAGACCGACTAGCGACGCTGCACTAGCCGCTGAATGGGACCGGAAGAACAACGCTGCATCAAGCTGGATCCTACAGACAGTCGACGCAGGCATTGTCGTCACGATCGATCTCGATAAGACAGCGCACCAACAGTGGACAGCGCTCAAGAACGAATACTCTCGCACCACCATCCACTCCGCTGTCGGCTACTTCTCCATCCTCAACTCCCACCTTTCCTCTGTCAACGCCCTTGAAGACCACATCCGTGCCTATCAAGACGCCGTCTTCCACATCCGTGCGGCAGGTTTCGACTTCGCTGATGACCTTGCTGCGGGCCTCTTCCTGGCTACTCTCCGCGATCAACCGGGCGAAGGCACGCAATGGAAGTCTTGGGCGGCCACCATCCCGTTCGACTCGACCACCAAGACGACCCTCGAGCACATCACCGTCGGTGCCCGCAACCAACGGCGCCTCGCTCTCGGTATTGCGACAACCACAACGTCGCAGGACTCTGTTATGGTCACCAACATGGAGGACGCCTATGCCGCCATCGACCGTTTCAAGCGCGCAGGCAACAAGTGGTGTTCCTACTGTCGCCGCAAGAACCACAATTACGAGGAGTGCCGCACTCGCAAGCGGGCCGAGGCGTCAGGTGGAGGCGGGAATAAGGGGAAGGAGAAGGCGAATGTGACGCAGGAGAAGAGCAACACGGGCTCGGAGGGCGAGCACTCAAACTTTGTACGCAGCGAATCCGTCCTATTCACTTCCGAGTTCTCCTGCTACCCTCTCGCGTGCGCATCACCATCCACTTCCCATCAAGATTCGTCGTCCCTTGCGCTCCCATCTCATTCCCCACACCCACCTATCATCATCGACTCTGGGACATCGTCGCATGTGCATTCTCAACGAGTGGATTTCGCCGATCTTAGTGCTTCATCCTCTACTATCCATGGTTTCGGAAACGGCACGACCGCTGTTGAAGGGCGTGGAGAAGCGCAGCTCGTTGCAGCCCTGCCGGATGGATCGCGCACACGCCTCCGGCTTCACGACACTTGCTATGTTCCCGAGTCACGTCCCAGCCTGATTTCTGTGCCACGACTCGATGAAGCGGGGTGTTACACGCTTTTTGGCATGGGCCGCTGCGTCTCGTTCAAGATTAGCGATGGCGGTGACCTCCTCCGACGTACGCTTTCCCGTTCTGACACGGTTCTGACTGGAAGCAGAGGCGAGAACCGCCTCTATCACCTCGACTCTCCCAAAGACATAACATCTTATCACACAACGGACGAAATGGCCTCACGCGCACTGCTCCTCGCTCACGGTCGCCTCGGGCACCTCAATTTCCACACAATTCGCGCCATGGCGCGGTCTGGACGACTCCCTGGGATGAAGCGGTCAACTATATCGTCTACACGAAGAATCGCAACCCTACCTCCGCACTGCCTGGTCGCAAAACACCGTTCACTGCGCGTTTCGGTCATCCCCCGGACTACGCCTTCCTTCACCGTTTCGGATGTCGAGCCTACGTCTACGTGGGCGACACCCCGTCGCACAACAAGCTTGAAGCGCGCGCGGTTGAGGGCGTATTTCTTGGATACGCACCAACGCAGAAGGCTTACCGGGTGCTTGAACCCTCCTCCTGGCAGCTTCACTCGTCCATCCACGTCGATTTTCATGACGACATCAACGGGTGGCCACGACGTGGTAACAGTGCGCAGGCTGAGGGGGAGCCACTCTACAACTCGCGCTTCTACCCTACCGAGGAAGACGACGAGCTTCCGAACAACAACCCGCACACTGCAACCACACCTGCCGATGCTCGACCAGCGCAACAAGAACATGCACCACTACCACCGCATCGCGAGGAGCCAGACGTACCTCAGCCTCCTACAGACGTCGGAGCACGTCCACGAACACGTCGCACTCGACGCGAGAAGCATGGAACCGAGCCTTCACGACGATCGACACGCATCATGGAGCTGAAAGCTACGAAGAACCAGGCCGCACGCATCGAGGAAGTCCCGGACGAAGGAGACGATCTGCAAACTCGTTCAGGCGACGACAACGACGCTGAGCCACACTCACCTAGTAACGAGTCCGAGGAAGAGGTCGACGCAACGCTCTTCCTTGATGCTCTCCTAGACCACTGTTACGTCTCGACCGGAGAAGAGCCAAAGTCCTACCATTCTGCGGTTGACTCACCAGACGCCGAAGAGTGGATCACCGCTATGATGAAGGAGCTTGAATCGATCTCGACTCTCGGTACCTTCGAACTCGTCAACCTCCCTCGCGGCCGATCAGCGATCGGCACCAAGTGGGTATACGCCTTGAAGCGCGACACTGCTGGCCGAATCATCCGCTACAAGGCTAGACTTGTTGCGCAAGGGTTCTCGCAGAAGCCGGGTGTCGACTTCTTCGACACTCATGCTCCGGTCGTCAAGCCCGAGGCGATGCGAACACTCATGGCTATAGCTGCCATGCTAGGTATGGCCATCCACGTCGTCGATGTCGATAGCGCCTTCTTGAACAGCGACATCCCTGAAGATCAGGAGGCATTCGTGAAGCAGCCACCAGGTTTCGCGCAACCCGGACTCGAGCACTTGGTCTGGCGCATCAAGAAAGCGCTCTACGGTCTCCGACAATCTGGGCATCTCTGGTACCGCAAACTCCGCGAGATCCTACTCGAACTTGGCTTCACAGTCTCACTCGCCGACCCATGCATCTTCTTCCGACGACGCGGAGACAAGTTCGAAGCCATCACATCCCATGTCGATGATCTCGCCCTCTTCTGTGCGAACGACGTCGACGCCGAATCTCTCAAGGCCGAGATCGCGAAGCATGTGCCGATAAAGGACAACGGAGAGGTATCTCTCCTGCTTGGTGTTCAGGTCACACGCGACCGCGAAGCTCGCACCATCTCCTTCTCGCACGCGCACAAGATCAACGCTGCACTTGAAGAGTTCGGATTCGCTGAAGTCCTGCCGGTCACATCCCCGATGGATCTCAGCACGAAGCTCGAACCACAGATCGGTCCTTTGGACGAAGACGAAGCCGCTTTCATGCGCCGTGTGAAGTTCCCGGCAGCGGTCGGTACACTCATGCACATTGCGGTTCACACTCGACCGGACATCTCGAAGGCAGTACAGAACGTCGCTCAGTACATGTCGAACCCAAACAAGACTCACTGGCGTGCCGTCAAGCGGATATTTCAGTACCTCAAGGGCACCCGGGACTACACTCTCACCGTTGGTGGCGAGGGCTCGATCTTCCCTGTCGCGTGGTGCGATGCATCACACGCCGACCAACCAGCTGTGAAGTCCACGTCCGGGTACGCCATCTTTATCGGACAGGGATGCATCGCGTGGTCCGCGAAGAAGCAGACGACAGTCGCGTGCTCCACGACGGAGGCGGAGTTCTACTCGGCTGAGAATTGCGGGCGCGAGATCGTATGGATGCGTCAGCTGCTCCAGGAGCTTGGTTTCCTTCCCATGAACAACTCTCCCTCCACACTCTTCCGCATGGACAGCACCACCGCGATTCGAATGCTCAAGAACACCGACGAGGTCAGCAACCGAACCAAACATGTCAATATTGCATACTACTGGATTCGCGAGGCGGCTCGTAAGGGCTACTTCGCATTTGAGCATGTCGCAGGTGCCAAGAACGTTGCGGACATCCTCACAAAAGGGCTCTCTACCGATGTCCACCGTCGTCACACCGCCTCCCTCGGCCTTGCTCCATCGTCATCCATCTCTTCTCGCTGAGGGGAGTGTTGATTATCTTATCTCCTACGATACAGCTCGAGGACGGACGTCCGATACTGTCT